TGTTCATCTCGAAAGGCCAGTAGTCCTCATAGTACCTCTGCAATTCTGGGGACATAGTTGCCACCATGATGCATGCCACTTTGGTAGCATCATCGTAATGTTTCTTGTAGGCAGCAAGATCTTCAGGAGTAGCTTCATTCTCATCAAGCTCTTTGAGCTCCTTTTCAAGAACATATTCTTTGTTCTCGAAACGAAGAGCCATCTTGATGTTGCGCATCCAATCGTTATAGTTTGAGCCATCCATAACGACTTTGGAGCATATATTGAGCAAAGAGAAGTTTTGGTTGGAGGAGGACGAAGCAGAAGTGTTTGCAGGAGTAGACATCTGAAAAGAAAGAAAGTTTTAGTTAGATTTCAAGATACCTTAATAAAATAACCCAAAGATATAATATCAAGGTTAGGATCCAACTATGAAGATTCACAACTTAGAAATGGGATGCCGAGATCCAAGTGTAAATTTCATAAAGGTAGATGAATGATGATTCACCAATTCCACCATTAGACGAAACAAACGAAGTGAAATTCCTAATTCTTTTGAGATACATTGAAACTATTCAATGACATGTTTTAATCTCAGATTATGCTCTTCTATTTGTGACTGGGATGCCGAGGATCACAAACAAGATGTGAATAACCATGCAAATGTGCTGGTAAACCACACACGCTCCATCAAAATGACAATTATGAGATACCCATTACTACTCTTTATTAGTGCCCTTTAGTGTGCTGGTTAACCACACACGCTCCACTAACGACCAATAAAGCATAATGTGCAATTTCATGGATTAACATACTTTTCACATTTTTCCTAAAGTAACTAGAGTTGGGATTTTAAAAATAATGTTCTAGTACTTTCTTTAATGTCATTATACTTTTAATGAGAAGTAGTTGTCCTATCAAATCCGTTCTGCTAACGACCCTCCACTAATCAAGGAAGCGGTGGGTGAGAGTGGACACCCATTCAACTACCATTTTATAGGCAGTTTCCTTATACCCCCCTTATAGATTAGCTTCGTGAATGAGGCATACTAGCGATTTGACTGACCATATTCTTATACATATAATATTAAACCTTTAATTATAATATATATATAAGGTGTGTTTTAAAACTTTTTAAAACTTCAAGGGTTTATATAAATTTCGAAATTTAAGCTGTTAAATTCAAATTTAAATAAACCAATTAACTAGATTTAATATTTATCTATTAATTAACTATTAATCAAATTATTAAATCTTGTAAGGATTATCTAATTAGATTAATCAATTAATTTAATCCTAATCCTTATCCCTCTAATTTCGAAAAATAGGGTAAGGATAATTATCCAATTAATCTAATTAAGTAACAATTATCCAAAAACAAGAAACCCTAGTTATCCTCTTAGCATATTTCGAAATTCATACGGGAGGAGGCTAGGGTTTTCAAAACCCTAACCCTAATTTCGATTAGGGTTCTTTGGAGGCTAGGGTTTTCGAAAAAACCCTTTGATCCAAAACCCTAGAAATCGAAAAATTGGCCTTTAGGGTTTAATAGCTATAAACCCTAATTTGCAATTCAACAATTGTAGCAATTCAATTTAAAACAACAATGGCTCTGATACCACTGATGGGTTTTAGGTACAACAAATAAACTAGAAAACAATTCCTAAGTTCACATGCAACCTACTTTGGATCTATGTTTTAACTATTGAACATACAACTTTGAATTGCAAAACAAGAACCCTAGAGGAGAGAGGCTAATTTCGAAATTAACAAACTAGGGTTTAGGGTTTACATACCTTTCAATTGTTATAGCAAACAATTGATATTCCTCTTGATCTTCTTGGAAGCTTTAGCACCACAAGTGTAATGCCTCTAATGGAATCACACCCAAACTAGCAAGAAGGAAAGTAGAAGAGAGAGGGGAGAGGGAGTATGCAAAATCTCGGCCTTAGGGTTTCTTCAAAAGAAAGAGTCACCAAAAACATGAACCAGGAGGCTCCTTATATAGCTGAGGGATCTAGGGTTTAAGGGAAACCCTAGTTATCCTTTGCTTAGGGCCTAAGCAAACCCAAGGGCCTTATCCAAGCCCCTATGGACGAAATTATTAGGGTTTCCCCTAAAGATTTCGTCCACCCTCTTCCAAGGGGGTTCTAGAGCCTTCCACTCAACTATTAGATAATTGCAAACTAGTCCCTACACCTTATAATTAATTCTTTTAACCCCAAAATCAATTCTGATTAATTTCTGGCTAACAATTAATTAAACATAATGATTTCTAATTAATATATTAATCCATTAACATATTAATAAATCATTTATATATACATTAATTAATCTTATAAATTAATATCTCTCCTTTCATAATTTCCTTGTCCAGTTGCTAGGTTGAGGGCAACCCAAAAGGACTGTGCTGCTATCAATTCAAGTACATACCAATTATAGTTAAGGGCTTAGACACCTAATCCAACAACTAGTTCACCAGGTTTGATTTCAGGATTTGGTTTTGATTTGTTTTGATTTCGGGTTACTAAGGTACTGAGGTGGATAGATTTGCAAATTGGTATTCTATTCTATTGTGTGTGTACAACCTAAAATGTCGATCTATTTTTCTTCCATACCTAGTCTTTCATTCTGATTTCTGTGTTTGATTACATGGAACACAATTTTCGATTTTGATTCCAAAGTTTAATTTTGATGGAACACAGCCACCACCAAGTTTCAGCTCCACCCTGCCACAGTCGGCACCCTCTACCAAAAGCCCCTCAATTGCGCCTCAAGTTCATCCCAAAATTCATGTAACCGTCTTGCCCTCTTCCCATTCTGTTTTAGTTCCCAATTTTTCCTCCACTGTCGACAGGATGAAAGGGTGAGTGTTTCTTTGATGGCAATGGTTTCTTTGGGGAAATTGTTTTGATTTTGGCTGATAATCTGCTTTTGTGAGTACATTTATAAGTTTAATTGAGGATGATGGATTGAATATGCCAAATTGGGGGTATTACGAACCTTCTTCCCTACCACTTCAACCTCCCAAATCTGGACTATTAAAGATGCGAGGGATGATTTTGGAATCGATTACAGATGATGCTGATGCGATGGCTGGTTCATCCCTAGGACATGATTTTGAAGTCTTTGATTAATCCAAGTTTCAGTAAGATGATCGAACCAGGTGTTGTTTGGAATATTTAGCCGCTTTCTCTTCAAATCCACCTCTCGATCTACAATCTGGTGACGAAGAACATCAGAGCTAAGTAGCAAATTGAGATCGTGAAGCTGTTTGGGATCACGATGTACTGTGGTTTGACCTGACAGCTCCGTCTTCGACAATTGTGTTTGTTTTTCTTAGTGAAATTTCTTATTGTTTAATTGAGTTTGTGTTTGTTAAGAGAGAGAGAGAGAGAGAGAGAGAGGTAAAGGTCATATAAGCCAAAAAACGGATTATGCAAAAATGCTCCCTTACATATGAAATGACGAATTTACCCTCACGTGTGAGGCACATGAGGGGGCTTAACAGATCCTACTTAACGGGAGTTAAGTCCAGGGACCAAAACCACATACAAACCACTCCAAAAGGACCATGGATCCCAAAAACTCATGGTTTGGACTAAAACCCCAAAATTTTACATACCACAGGGACCATTTTTGCAATTTTGTCTTTTTTTATTATTATTTCAATATGGATTGAGAAACAGGTCCGTCAGATCCCACCAATTTGTCACCACAACAGGAAATAATGAGAAGTGAAGAAAGTATGAGGAAAATTGCCAAATTGAAAATGGAATCAGTTGTTAGTGGCAGGGTTGATGTTAAAATTCAGCCCCCACAACCATTTTTACCACTGGAAAAAGCCCATGTGTTGACAACAACATTCAATCGACCAAAATTTTAGATTTCTTGTGGAATGACGATGATGAACTGAAAAAATTAACTTACCCTCATCGTTTAGAGAGAGAGAGAGAGGAAGAAAATGATAGATAGATAGCATAATACACCGATTGAGAAGGAGCCGTGGTTCACACATCGGTGGTGATAGGTGGCATCAGTGGTATTAAACATTGAAGAATAATAGTGGCAAAAGAAAACGGTGGTTTTATGGGAAGATAAAGAGTGTTAAAATCCTAAGTAAGGCCACCGATTAATGATTGAATAAGTTTAAGCCCGACAAATTTTTATTTCTTTTTGAGGTAGTTCACCCGATCCATTGAAAATGGATTCACTTTAACGGGTCCGTCCATAATGACGTGTCCTTTTCTCAACCTAAAGTTTGTCTTATGACAATGGAGTTTTAAAAAACCCACAAAAATCCTTGTAATTCTCTAGCTCACCCACTTACCTCAAATTCTAAGAGGAGGATCATCTCATATTGAGAAGGCTAATACTAAGAGAAGCATACCACGGAAAGCAGAAAATGTATTTTCCAGGTGAGGCAAACATGCAGATGCACGTTGAACACAACACAACTGTAGCAGTAGATCGGCCGAATTTTTTGGCAAACGATAGAAGCAATTCGTTTGTAGAGAGAGAAGAAGAAGGTGTGCATAGGAAGATTTGGGTATCCGTCTTAGCCAGAAGGTTCCTTCGGAGGTGGGAAGCGGAGGTCACCTTGTGAGAGATAAATGAAGAGGAGGAGAATGTACGAAGAATTTTGTAAGGAGGAGATAAACTGATAAACTGTAGAAAATATGTAAAAAGGAAAAAAATAAAGTTTTAAACGAAGCCCAAAAAGGAAAATATCCAAAAGGAAAATATAAAGCAGCAACAGCCCATTATTATGGAGTCCAATATACCAAACCCAACTAATATCAGATGACGTGGTGAGTTCATAGAATACCAAATATATATATATATATATATATATATATATATATATATATATATATATATATATATATATATATATATATATATCCAGCCTTATGGGATCTCGAGACATGATTATTGTAATACATCTAAACCGGATCATGTTCCATGTTTATATATATATTTATAGTCTATATAAAATCAATCATGTCTATAAAAGAAAGCATATTCAGCTGGTTAAATCATTATGAAGCACAGAAAACATATAAAAGTATAAACCACGTACGTGATTCATGAAGCACAGAAAAACCACGACGTTGAACTAAGGCGTAGTTGCGAATCGCCAGTAACCCAATGAATATGGCACCGGAAGTTCCTGCTATTCTAGTTCTGGGTCCACCGCTCGTTTTCAAAGCCTACGAAAGCGCTTTTTCTCAGAAATTTAATTTCCTGAAACCATGGGAGAAACCTATCCCCCTCCACCAATTTATCTCCACTCATTCATCTACCGTGAAAGCAATTTTTTGTTCTGCTGTCAGTCCGGTCACCTCTGACATCATCCAAAGCCTTCCGGAGCTCAGATTTGTGTTGGCCAGTTCAACCGGCGTCAACCATATTGACATCCGAGAATGCAAACGCCGTGGAATTGTTGTCGCAAATGCAGGGTCGACTTTTTCAGAAGATGTTGCAGACATGGCGGTAGGGTTGTTGATTGATGTGCTCAGAAGAATCAGTGTTGGTAATCGTTTTGTGAAATCTGGTGTTTGGCGTAGGGATGGAGACTACCCTCTTGCTCATAAGGTTTGTAAAATTTTACCATGAAATCTACAACTTTCGTCAGACCCTTTTGGTTGATATAGCATCTATATTTACTTTCTTCTTATTACACCTTTATGGTTTCTATTATCTAGTTAAGTGGGAAGCAAGTTGGGATTGTTGGATTAGGGAGCATCGGCCTTGATATCGCCACAAGACTTAAAGCCATGGGTTGCATCATCTCGTACACATCAAGAACCATGAAACCACACGTCACGTTCCCTTTCTATCCTACAATTCATCGGCTTGTAGCAAACTGCAAGATCCTAATCATTTCTTGTGCATTAACAGAGGAAACACGACACATGATTGATAGAGAAGTGATGTTGGTTTTAGGAAAGGAAGGAATCATCGTTAACATTGCAAGAGGAGCAATCATCAATGAAAAAGAACTAATCGAGTGTTTGGTGAAAGGGGAGATCGGTGGTGCTGGTTTGGATGTTTTTGAAAATGAGCCTAACTTCCCTCAAGAGCTATTCCCATTGGATAATGTTGTGTTGACACCTCATCATGGCGCTGTGACTGAAGAGGCGTGTAGAGATCTTTATGATCATGTATGTAAGAATCTTCATGCGTTCTTGGCAAACGAATCCTTAGAGTGTGAGGTCGATATGTGAACTATCATACTTGTTTATGAACAGTTGGTTTTGACGAATTTTAATAAATCCTCTTACGTTAAATATGCTAACTTGAACTTTGATCTATTAGAGCATTCAAGTCTTAAGTTAGACAAATCTGTTGGTGATTTTAGTGTCACCAAGTAATTTGTGTAATTGGAACTTACATGTGAGCTAAGGGGCTTCATCATTAGTACTATAATATATGTTTGGGTTTGTGCGTAGTGCATGCATGTATAAGATCAAATTAGAAGCCGGTTCAGCGACATGTTGGGGGTCCGGGGGAAACACGTCTGGGTCCGGGGTCTAGGGGCAGCGCCCCTAGCGAGGTCTAAGGGGCAGTGCCCCTGGCTAGGGTCCCGCTTACAACCAACCCTAAAAACGCAACCCTACTTCTCGTTTTCTATAAAATGACTCTCCTATTGAGGAGAAAGGATCGACCTTTTAGCTATCGTTTTTCTTCATACAAACTCAGAATCTTCTAGCAATTTGGCTTACGTTTTCTGTGCCTAGATTCGTAAGTGTCCCCTTCGGATTATCCTAGGCTGAGTTTCTTGTAACCCGGGCATAAGGTAGAAATATAAGTTCGGAAAGTGTTTACATGATCCAAGGGATATCCAGATCTCCACTATAACCCTACCATTTTTGTAACAATCGAATTGATATTTCCTGTTTCTGGAGATGGGTGAATCAATCTGTGAGATGACCATGAAGTTCGCAAAACCAAAGAAGTTTGAAGGCGTTGATTTCAGGCTCTGGAAGAAGAATATGCACTTCATGCTGACCACTCTGATGGCAGCATACGTGCTAACTACTCTTGATGGGTTTTTAGCACTACAACATTCCTATGGTGTACATGCAAACCCTAAAGCTTTGGATCTAGTTTGTCTAAAGAACATGCAATAATCATCCAAAGCCATAAACCCTAGATCTAGCATGTGATAATCAATATAAACATAAGAATAGGGTTTAGATCTTACCTTTGATTGTTATGTAGCAATAACAATTTATTCCTTCTTGTAATTGGATTCTAAAAGCTTAGAGTCACAAATGTCACTCCTCTAATGGCTCACAAACACCAAGAGCAAGAGGATGAAGAAGGAGAAGAGGAGAGGCACTCAAAAACATCTAGAAACCCTAAGGAATCAGTTAGCCACGTTTTTGGTGCCCTAGGGGTGCTTAAATAGTGAGGCTATTAGGGTTATCTAACAAGGAAACCCTAATTTGACTGCTTAGGCCCTAAGCAACCCATGGACTCCTCCTTTAGAGGCCTTGGACGATTTCTAATGGTTTCCCCATAGAATTCGTCCACTCCTCTAATATGGAGTCCATTAGCCCAATATTCAACTATCACACAATTGACAGTTCTAGTCCCCTTTATTTAATTAATGTCTTTTAGCCACAAAATTAATTCTGATTAATTCTTGACTAATATTAATTAAACAATATGATTTCTCCTTTAATATATTATTCATATAATATATTAATAAATCATAATTAATCTCTTTCTCCACAAATCATCCTATCAAGTTGCTTTGGTGAAGGCAACCCAGAAGGACCATGCACCATCGGGTCAAGTACATACCAAAATAGTTATGGACTTAGACACTAATCCAACATTCTCCCACTTGGATAAGTCTAATGACTATTCTGCGTATGACTTCAGATCCTGATCCGCAATTGTAGCTCTCAAAAGCCGCTGTCAACTCTGATCTTATCAGATACGCGTCCTTTAGATAAGGGATCATATATTCCTCCATTCTAGATATCGTATAGACATGAGACATGGATTGAAATCATTCTCTCAGTCTATGTGTTGTTTCCCGATTTCTGATTTATGACAACTGACTAATTGAACAAATCAAATCAGTCCTGGCCCGGCCGAGCACTTTCCTTTGTCATCACTAAATCATCGAGGGGCCCACAGATATCGCTTTTAACCCACATTGGGTAAAAGGAACGGATAAACTTCGACTCAATGCTCGCTTGTACTCACTCACCGAATTACACACAACAATATGTTTTATAACACGAAGTTACTGGTGCGTTTACATATTAGCAATGTGCAACCGACTCGCAAGATACAACTCACACATCTCGGTTTCAAGAATATAAGATATTATCGTCTCACCAATCACTCGTGATAAAAATCCATGAAGCGATCCAAGTGAGCGTGGGTTTAATCCAATGCTCAAATCATATTCATAAGCACTCATGAACGTTGTAGCAAACTTTTGCTATGTCTAATACGCTTTAGACAATCTACACACCAATTCATGACAATCTTCTTTCATACCTACTCCCAATGTATGAGCGACTGTGGAACGTTCGAATAATCTTATTATTCAGGAAGTCAAAACATGCAAATTGAAACACAAGAATAATACTAATCTTATATGGCCCCAAACTTTTGAGTATAAATAAAACACTTTTATTTAATCACCATATTGATTACTCATTATTTGTTGTTTCGGGTAATCAACTTCTTACTTGAATTATAACGACAATTGTCCCATGCTCTTAGCATGCACACTATGTTTACTTATGGTCCTTACTCTGTGGAATAGTATAATTGAATAACATTTTCAATTACACTCATTTTACAATTCCCAATCCTTACCACAAGTGTAAGAATACCAAATTCTTGCCACTTATAGAATATGTTAGATTCTAACACTTTATGCAACAATCCTTTCATAATGTCATGGCACAAAAGTCACCAAGACTCGGCCAATGAAATTACAAAATGCTCTATTGGAGATTGTTACAAGACAATTCCATAGATGTGAAGTCTCACATTCAAAGTACATTCCTTTGAACATTCTTCTTGCATAAAAGTTTCTAATCTAGACATAGATCCTTAACGTCCAACTCCCAATAAGGAAATATTTCCATATTTGCCACATGACAACTCATTATTAATAGAATCATATCTAATAATAATAATGTCAATATGGTCCTTCCATTACTATACTTCCAACTGTTCACAAGTGACCAATCCTTGGCGAACCTTAGATTATCCTTGACAGTTGTTTAACTAATTCAGTCAAATCCGATTCTAGTCCTCTTTCCCTCTTAATGCCCTAGGCATTTGGAAAATTTTAGAACGGTCGAATATTACAACGACATGATACTTTACCAGTCTTTTGCTATAATATTTCTATTTCTATTTGCCATGTTCTCACGATTCGAACTATGAAGAGGGATGCCGTAATCATAATCGAGTGTGAGAATGCAACAAATATTTCCATATATAGAATTCTCTTACGTTGAATCCTTTCAACATAACATTCATATATCTTTTTGACTAAATTTGATTAAAATTTCTCGATCTAAACCTTTAGATATAAAACGAAGTATAATATTCTCTCCCTTAATTATAGCAAAACAACTTTTCATCCTATGCAACTTTGCAAAGTGAAACTTTTGTTTTCTATAATTAATATTGCTAACTTGCAATAATAATCATGCTCCCACTAACATGATGATTATATCCATACCAGCATAACATTTATGCTCCCACTAGCTTTGACGCGTATTCAGAAAACAGTTGGACTTCTAAAAGTCAATACTTATTGACTTTTCAAAGTTCATATTTCCAATACGATGTGCTTCGATAAGCCTTTATCTAAGCTTCTCAAATTCACACACCTTTCCTTAAAATAGCTCACATGTGTGTCTAAACTAATTCAGAATTTATATTACTAAGTCCCATATGTTTAGACTAATTGCCAAATCTCACAATTCGAACTATGAAGAGGGATGCCGTAATCATAATCGAATTTGAGAATGCAATTTACATAATCGCTATCTCCTTAAAATCTCTCTTAGTGAAAGCGTTTCCTCACAATCATTTTCATGAAGGAGAGAAACCTTATGACACTTAGATTTTATGGTGCATGTGTTCCTATCCATGCGAATTTGTCATAAGCATAATTATAAGATAATGTTCATGATAAATTCAAACTCTTATGGACAGAACTTGTTCATTCTTAATTTCTTGCCATCAAGGGTCCCACCATTGCTTCCAAGTTATTTAGCAGCTCACCTATGCCAGTCAATGTACTTTCATTGATCAAGGTGTTTGCCTTTATGCATTCAATTGAGAACTCGTAGAACTCATATGCATAATCACTCAACTGGATTGGTACAGAAATAAAATTTTGTCAACACGATAGGTTACAATCCTCAAGTCGTGTGCTAGTGTTAATAGGTTTACTTCTTGATAATGTTCTTGAAACTTTTCAAGATTTTTAGACTCCCACTGACCTCTTGACATATAAGATTCTCTTGTTAAGAAACATTTTCTTGACAAACAAATACTCAAGAGTTAGTGTGTGTCTTTATCAAGACAAACCTACACACAATTTGGTACTAGTTGGTCTTTGTCTTATCCAAGACATCACAACTTACCAAAATGTGCTAGTGTAAGAACATTCCTACTTAAGTTTATGTCACTCAATTCACAATCTTGGAGTATGACTCTAAGAATTGATTTTGGAACGAAGTATGATTTATCTTATTGACTTAACCCATTTTGACAATTCTCGACTCCTCTTCTTAGCCATACTATTGCACTAAGGTGTCCTTAGAGGATGAATTGTAATATGGTTCTTAAGACGATCATAAAACACGATACAAGAGTACTCTCCCTTCTTCTTAGATTGGAGAAACTTTTATCTTTCTGCCTAATTGATTCTTCTTATTCGTTCTGCCATTCATTGAAACTTTTCAGTGATTCAGAATTATACTTAATCTTGTAAGCATAACCATATTTACTAGACTTTTAGTAGACCATGGCGCATAACCTCATTTTATTTATGGTGGACTTGACCAGTGCACAACATTGTGAACTCGATCTCCTAGTCCTTCACTTGACTCTTTGTCAAGGAATTGGCCTTAAAATTTCTAAGTACCAAGATTTCCATACATCACATGATTCAAATCATATGATTCCAAGCTTCTGTCCAATTGAAACTTGGGCGAAGGGAATCTTTCCTTACTTAGAAAATTGCGACACTACCATAAATAACATAACTAAGAATCAAATCCATTCAC